ATGGCCTTAGGTTGAACCAGGGGAGGTTCAGGTTGGATATTAGGAAAAATTTGTTGTCAGAAAAAGTGGTGATGCATTAAGAACAGGCTGCCCTGGGAGGTGGTGGGGTCACCGTCCCTAGATGTGTTCAAGAAAAGGGTGGATGTGGTAGTTGGGGGCACTCTCTGTAGCGGTCAAAGGTATGGGTTGATGGTTGGACTGGATGGACTTACTGATCTTTCCAACTGTCATGGTTTTGTGATGGTTCTGTGATATTTCTGAGACACACAGTATGTGCATCTTGGAAGCCAGAACTTCAGATGCTGTCCAGCAGCAAGTCTGGGGACAAGCATCCCTTGCCCAAAGGGGCAGAGCCATCTGGAGGTCCTGGAGAGGTCTGGGTAGGTAGAGGAGGCTGTGATCATTGCAGCCCCACGTGACAAGATGAGGAGTGACCTCAGCAAGGTGTCATTTAAAGCAGGCACCATCCTGTCCCAGCAGGGCACTGCCAGAGCTGATGTGATGGGATGAGTGCAAAGAGCCGTGTGTTCTCTGCCTATGTGGTCATGTTATTCTTGGTGTGACTCCTGAAGTCAGGCCACAGCATTTTTCCAAAACTCGTTCACAATTGACACAGTCTCTACCCCATCTGCATATGTGTTGATGTCAGACTCCAGCATTCAGAAATGTTCTCTTTTGGTTTGATTTATCCAGAGAGGAGAAGCTGCCCTGTGGTTAAGCAGCAGCACTGGAGGCCAAAGGATGACCAAATCTGATTCCAGTCTCTTCCACAGACTTCCTTCGTGATTTCGAGCCGTCGCACCCTGCTGGCTGTCGGAGCCCCAGCTGTGAGCCAAGGAGGATCCACTTCTTTTCCCTCATCTGAGTCTGGAGCTCTTGTTTTGCTTGCAGGGCACCAGACAGGGTCTCAGTATTAGATGGAGCTTTGGGGCTCTGCCATTAAAAAGTCAATTAGAACCAGCCCTATTTCAGATAAAGTGTGATTTGCAGTTTAATATGCTAAGTAACAAAGACTTTACCAAAATAATGAACAATGGTCTTTTTCCATTTCACAAAACAATTCGCCAGGCAGAATAAGCACACCCGCATTTTTATAAAAACAAATTACAAATAATTGCTTTTTGCAATTTAATACACATGTAGAAAGAGCCAAAAGAGTCCTGCAGCCACTGGGAATCTGATTTCATTGCCGATTTGGACCATTTCTGTAGTTCTTATGAAAATCCCCAAAGACTGTGCTATTTTGCTATTTTGTAAACTAAAGAAGGCTCTTTTTTTTCTTTTTTTCTTTTTTTTTTTTTTTTTTTTTTTTTTTTGGGGGGGTTTGGGTTTATTTTGCAATGAGTTGACAGGGGCGTTTTTAGTTTTTTTGGT